TATAAAGTTAGAATTTTAAAATAAAAAGTTACATCCTCATTTAAACATATTTAATCCATCATTCATTTTATAGATATATCAACACACTCTTCATTAACATTTAGAAAGATTACATTTTTCCTTCCTCTTTTTGAATTCATATTTCCAGTACACTACCCTTACAGAAATGTTTTTAATTAAATGTGTTTTTTCTAACGTAATATGTTTTTTCTTTTATTTTATTTCCAAAATAATAATTCTTTAGGTATTAAGGTGTTTTTTTTTTTTCTTTTGGGTTAAATCATTACAATTAGTACTTAACTGATCCAAACAGCATATTCGTTTTTTCTTTTATTTTATTTCCAAAATAATAATTCTTTAGGTATTAAGGTGTTTTTTTTTTCTTTTGGGTTAAATCATTACAATTAGTACTTAACTGATCCAAACAGCATATTAAACATTTTGATAATAAGTAAACCATACAATAAATTTTTATTGGAAATGAATATCTTAATAGAATAAATGAGGCTTTTTTTCCCTCCATTACTAATATACTTTTAGGTTAAACAGTCTGAGCTACAGATTTAGGGCATTTAACTTACAAAAAATGTCCACCCTAAAACCTAAAGCCTAGTCAGCAAAGCCAGTCCTCACAGTCAAACTAATAAGTCAAATTGTATTTAATATCTCTCAGAAAAAGGTCTGACTTCATGTTTCACTTCAAACAAATATGTTAACATGTGTCTTGAGGAATATTATTTTATGAAAACCACTGAGAAATAAATTACAGGATTACAAAAAGCAGTCAAAATTAAGATTTAAACCTAAAGTGATTGTTTTATTCAACCATGCACCTTAAAGAAAATAAATCAGTTTCTTATTACTAATTCTTTTTCTTATTAATTTGTAATAATGCAATATAAAATATAGCTAAAATTCTAAGTTATTTATGAAGCAAGGAGTATGATAAGCAATACTTTATGCCTTAACAAATATGAGGACATACATAAAACTCTGGTGCTCAACTTTTGGAAATAATGAAATAAAACCAAGTATACAAACCAGGCATAACTCCATTAATTCTGTTAGATATGATGATCGTGCTTTTTCTGGGTATTTAACAAAAGAAAACGGTATAAATTGCTAAAAACTACCAGTCAGGTTTTGCTTTTTAAAATATGAAGTAGAAAACATTAAACATGTAATTGAATTTACACTTATGACACAATTGATAAACCAGCTTTAACCACTTTACTGAATCACAATATACATGAATTTGAAAAACCAGGCCAGTGTAAACTGAAAATTTTGGCACTCCAGTTATGTTTAAAAGATTCAGCTTTACTAACCCATATCTTTTGAACTGTTTAAAGGTGTATTCCTTTATAGCAAACGACAAATCCTAAGGAAGAGTATTAAGGTTAGTCAAAATCATTGTTTACATTTAAACACAGAGGACACAGTTTTAGCATTCAAAATTTTCTATGTTCTCTCTGCTGTCATCTCACAGGATTCCCTCTTTAAAACATTATATTGGCTGTTAATAGTTGGGGATAAAAAACACCAGGTCATTAAAAGGAAACTGGCATTATTCCCTACCATGTTTCTGAACTAACATCCTACCACAGGACAAAATATTCTGTTTCTAACATGATTTACCCTTAACAGAAATCTTGCAAGAAGGAAAAGGAATGAACCCGTTTGTGTGTTCAATCCCTCGATGAATCATTAAAGGAGATGTTTCCTTTATTTTGCATCCTGGAAGTTTTTATACATCAAGATAATGCACTATGGTCATATTGAGTATCAGTGAAAGATATGATTTTCTTTTATAAAGCTGACTTTCTTTCATAAAGTAAGTATGGTAGCCTCCAAGATGGCCTTCAAAGATTCCCACTTTATGGTATTCATATCCTGATGTAGTCCCCTCCCACACTGTACCAAAGTTGGTCAATGTGACCAATAGGGTAAAGCAGAAGTAATGGTATGCCACTACTGATACTGGGTTATAAAGAATATTATGGCTTCCATCTTGATTTCTCTCTTAGATCACTCACTCTGGTGGAAACCAGCTGCCATGTCATGAGGACTTTTAGGCAGTCTTGTTGAGAGCCCATGTGGCAAGGAACTGAGGCCTTCTGCCAACTGCCATCATAAAAGCAAATCCTCCAGCCCCTGTTAAGATGCAGCCCTCACTGACATCTTGCCTAGAGCCTCAGGAGAGACTTTTAGCCAGAAGCACCCAGCTAAGACACTTCCAGACTGCTGACCCTGTGAAATAATAAATATTCAAGGTTTTAAGCCAGTGTGTTGTGCAGCAATAGATAACTAATATTGTCGGTATCTTAGGTAGCTTTCCTAGAAATAGAACCTGAGATCAGTGATAAACTAAAGAAATTCTCAAAAGGAAGACTGTTCAAAAAGTAAAGAAAACAAGAGAGGAAACAAGAGGAAGCCAATCAAAGAGTGTCATCTCAGGCAAAAAAAAGTCTCCAAGAAAGTGGGCTTCAGACTGATTCCACATGCAACTTCAGAGTATAAGTTATATCTCAGAGTTATCCCAATCTAGGCAAGAAATCTAGGCCCACACCCACGTATCATAACTTACTAACTTACACCCTGGTAATTCGTTGTGGAGTGGGGTTGTAATAGACTCCAAGGCATTTCTAGTTCCTATGAAAAGGAACCCAAGGGGATCTGAGCAGAGCTCTAATTGTAAGAGAACTATTGTGAAGACAGGCTAGGGTTCCTAGACAGATCATTTTTAGAAAAAATCTGAGGATCTAAAAATTATTTCCTTAAAATTTGTAGCCCAGGACCCCATGGAAAGCCTTCACATAACTTTAAAACTCCTAAGGCAGCAATTTTCATACAACATTCAGTATTCACCAAACACATTTGGAAATTCATTCTGTACTCAATATCCTAAGAAAAATGGTCCCTGTGCTCACAAAGTTTAGAACATAGCCAGCTAAGAAAATTCATAAAAGCTCTTAGGATTTCTCAAAGCCTGAAAAATGGTAAATTATATTGTGGATATTATTTGCAGCATTTTCAAAAGAGAACCCCTTTTTTGACAGTATACCTAATTTCTTTCCATAGAACACTTATATTTGATCAAACAAAGCAGAAATGTTACCCTAAGGATTTTGGACACAGAGCTCTTTTGGTTAAAATGGACTTTTAGTCAACAAATCTAGACCTTGAAAATCATACATATTAATGTAACCCTTTACAATAATCCTTTTAACATTTACTGAGTGCTGTTTTTATACTGGGTATTATACTAAGCACTTTACTATTTGACTCTAATGCCCAACTAGTCAACAAATCTAGACCTTGAAATCATACATATTAATGTAACCCTTTACAATAATCCTTTTAACATTTAGTGAGTGCTGTTTTTATACTGGGTATTATACTAAGCACTTTACTATTTGACTCTAATGCCCAACATAACCGTAGAAATTTTTAACAAAAATTTCATGGAAAGATTCATATTACTTTTCATTTCTATTTTTCCACAACTTTCTGAAGTACTCTTGTATACATTTATGTATATTTTACATATACTATGTATATGAGTGTATAAATAAATGACAAAGGAATTAAAATGAAAAATATATATTTAATGCAAAGGAAGACAGTAATGGAGAAATAGAAAATGTTTCTCAAGTAGTGAAGAAACAAAAAAATGTAAGACATATTAAAACAAATGGCAAATAGCAGATGTAAATCCTGACAATTATAAATATTTATTTACCTACCAACAAAGCCCCCAAAATACATGGAGCAAAAACTAGCAGAACTGAAGGAAGAAACAGACAACGCCACTACTTTCAATAACAGATAGAAGAGGCAGAAGATCAACAAGGAAACAGAAGTCTTGAACAACACTGTCAATCAACTAAACTTAACAGATGTCTATTGAACACACCACCCAACAATAGCCAGTTACACATTCTTCTCAAATGAACATGGAACACACTCCAGGATAGACCATATGTTGGGCCATAAAATAAGCCTCAATAAATTTAAAAGGATTGAAATCATGCAAAATATGACCTCTGATCACAATGAAATTAAACTAGTAATCAATAACAGAAGGACATTTGGAAATTCAGAAACATATGGGAGTTGAACAAACACTCCAAAATAACCAATGGGTTAAAGAAATAAAGACAAGGGTAAATAGAAAATACTTCTGAGATGAATGGAAACAAAAACACAACATACCAAAACTCATGGGATGCAGCTAAAGCAGTGCTTAGAGAGAAATTTATAGCTGTAAAGTCCTACATTAAAAAAGAAGAAAGATCTCCATCAATAACCTAAACTTGCACTTCCATAAAAGAAGCCAGACATAAAAAGCCACATATAGTGTCATTCCATTTATATAAAATAACCAGAACAGGCAAATCCAGAGAGACAGAAAGTAAATTTGTGGTTGCCAAGGGCAGGGGGAGGGGAGAATGAGGAGTGATTGGGAATGGTTAAGCAGTTTCTTTTTGGGGTAATGAAATATTCTGAAACTAGAAAATGGTAATGGCTTCACATCCTCGTAAAGATGTTAAAACCACTGAATTGTATACTTTAAAAGGGTGAAGTTTTGGTATGTGAATTATATCTCAATAAAGCGGTTATTTAAAAAATAACTGACTAATGAAAAATAAGAACAATGTAGTATGGAGTAAACATATGTAGAAGTAACATAAGTAACTGTGATGCAACAATAATGCAAAGGCAAGAAGGGAGAAACAGAAGAATGCTACTGGAAGGTTCTTACACAGGAAGTTGTGTATCACTTGGAATTAGACTATGATAAGTTTAAAAAAAAAAAAGTAAGTGCCCTACAAACGGTGGATATTTCATAAACTTTTTTTTGTATGAAGATTTATAGCTATCTGAGCTTATGATCAACCTTTAATGCCTAAAACACATACATGCCTTTTTAATAACAAAAATATGTGTGTGTATATATGTATAATAAAACGTAAAGCATACACGTAAAACCAACTTACCAAAACAGAATAAATGTGTAAACATCGGTAAACAGGGGAAAAATCAACAAGATCCTGAACAGTTAAGACCTGAAAAATAAAACCATTAAAAAAACTATAGTCAAACTATTAATCAACTATCGAATAATATAAAAGCCAAAGACAGACAAGGAGATTCGTGGACTTCGTGTTATAACATTTATTCAATTTTCCCATAGAAAGCATACACTATAATAATATTTTTATTTCATTTTGGCATTTGTTAGTTTATTCTTTATTTGCTTATTATTATTGAATGTTTTAGATTAAAAGGTAACAGAGGAGAGAGACTGAATATCTTTAACATGTTTGGTGGACTACCAGAAAATTGCTATGAATAACTAGATACCTCATTATTGCTTTGGGTAAAAATATGCAAGTATTTATGGTTTCATTATAGACAAAGTTCCTTCTCTTAAGCAACTAAATAATATAATTTACCATTATTGTACTGAATCGAAGACACAATCGCCATTATTTTCCAGATGACTAAGAAAGAAAAAAACACTACTTGAAACTATGACACCATAAATTTTAAGATGTACCCTGAATTCTGAAATGTTATTATGTGAAAAAAAAGCACCTTAGAACTGATGAAATATAGTAGTATAAAATTTCTCAAACCTGAGAAAAACATAAACCTTTTTTAAAGGAACTCATTTCTATTCTCGTGAATCCCCAGAATGGACTTGGATCATTTTTATTATAATATTTCTTATTAGGGAAAATGATAGAAACAAAATGCAGTAATAGTAAAATAGATCTGAGAGAAGAGAGAAACAACCAAGTTACTCTCACAGTATGGATTTGGGGATAAGACATGATGGCGATGCTCCCAGCAGTTAAAGATATGCAATACAGACCGGGAAAAACTGAAGTAATCAAACCAGATGGTCTATTTTTGCCATTCTGAACTTCAAGGGGGAAGAGAATACAGACATCCTCTGAATATTAAGAACAAAAAAGTAGATTTCAAAAACATTAATTTCAAGGGACTAATCAGGGCACACTAATTCCACACTAGGAAGATATTTAACTGTCTTCCTATGTATACATATGTATACATACATGCATACAATGCGGTTCAATTCACATGGTTCGATTCAAATGGTTCGATTAAAAGTTCTTACTGTGCCCCAATTAGGTCCTTAGAAAAAGAATTTAAAATCTCATTGATAAGGCCAAACTTATAAATAATTGGGAATAACTAGGCTCCCTATGATATCAACTAAATTCAAAAGGAATTCAAAAGGAAGGTAAAAAGTAGGCTCTATAGAAGACTTTGTGGAGAGAATTAAAAAAGCAATAGGACAAGAGAATGAATTTGGAGTGTAAAAGAAAGTAAATATTTAAGGATAATTTCAAGATTTCTAGACTTATTAGAACATTTTAAAAATAAAAAACCTTAAATTTAATCATATTAGAATTATTTTGCAGTATGTCAGTACCAATTGAAAAAAAGTAGGCTATCCAAAATTAGGCCAAAGGACAAGGTCATGATATTATAAAATAAAAATTTTGCCACAGATCATTCAAATATGAGTGATAATCATAAAAAAAAAATCATTAGATTTTTACTATTAATTGTAACAGAACACCTAGGTTCCACTATCTATGGCTTATAAATATAATCTGCAATATATTCTGTTTATCTGTCAATTACATAGTCTAATATTTCAGATAACTCCAGTGCCCTAATAGCTCATTACAATCTGATGGATATAAATTCAATTTGCACATGGGAAGACTAAGAGACACATGGATATGCCTTATAATCCAAAAGAAAAAGTTTACCCGATAATAGATAAAGAAAGAAAGAAAAACCCCATCACCTCCTCTTCATTCTCATCCTCTTCCTCAAGTGCATGTTTCAATACAATTTCATTCCTTTCTTCTGGGATTCTATCATGATTTATATACATATTTTTCCCAAATTTCACATTGTTTTGCTTCTGCAGAGCAATACTGAAGGTTTTCTGCTGCTGTGCCTGTTTTGGAGACAGAAAATTTCAGATTATTTCAAATTAATTATGGTCAAAATTGGTTCAAAATATTTGTTCATTATGTGGTCTTATCTTTTTAATGTCTGTAGGTATAGGATCTGTAGTGATGTCCCTTCTTATTCATGATTTGTGCTACTTCTCATCCTTTCTAAACAGCCTTGCAGGGGTTTATCAATTTTATTTGAAAACACTAAGAACCAACTTTTGGCTACGTTCATCTTCCCTTCTGTATTTTGTTTTGATTATGTTGATGTCTGCTCATATCTTGATTATTTCCTTTTATTTTGGGGGGGTTTAATTTTTTGTGGCTACTTAGATCATTGATTTCAGCTTTTCTTTCCTAATTTATGAATTTAAGACTGTATATTTCCCTTTAAACGTGACTTTTATTGCATCCTACAAGTTTTGATATGTCACATTTCATTATAACTCAGTTCAAAATATTTTCTGGTTTCAATTGTAGTTTCTTCTTTGATCCACGGGTTATTTAGAATTTTATTTCTTAATTTCCAAGCATACAAGGATTTTCAAGTTACTGTTTGTTGCTAATTTCTGGAGTAATTTCAGTGTGGTCACAGAATGTACTCTATATTATTTCAACTCTGAAATTTACTGACATTTGCCCTATGGACCAGAATATAATCTATTTTGGTAAGTGTTCTAGGAAAAAATGTATATTCTAAAATCATGGGGTACAGTGTTGCATACATGTAAATTAGGTCAGAGTTGTTAATCTTCTATTTAAAAGGTCTGTATTCTTACTGATTTATCTGTTGGCTCTACAGTTGCTAAGAAGAGCGTAGGAAAATCTTCCATGAGGTTTGTCTATTGTCAAGCTACTAATCTTTTAATTCTGTTATTTTGCCTTTTATATTTTGAGACCATGCTATTAGATGGAAACAAATTTAGAATTGTTCATTTTCCTGATGAACTGAACCTTTTATCACTATGAAATGTTCCTCTTTCTTGCTCTACAAATGCATTTTGTCTTATGGCCTACTTTCATATTAATATACAAGGGTACCTCAAAAAGTTCATAGAAAATCTTTCCATGAAGGTTTCTATGAAGGGGTCTTTGGATGATCTCTCATACATACATCAGCTTTCTTTAGTTAGTGTTTGCATGGTATATCTTTTTCAATCCTTTCACTTTCAGCCTTAACCTGTATGGTTATACGTAAGGTATGCCTCCTGCAAGCAGCATAATTTGAGTTTTTAAAATCCGTTATCAATTCCCCTCTCAACTTATATGATGTTTTTGTTTTGCACTGTAATTCTATATAAACTCCACAGGATGTTTTTGATAAGGTATGCCTCCTGCAAGCAGCATAATTTGAGTTTTTAAAATCCGTTATCAATTCCCCTCCCAACTTATATGATGTTTTTGTTTTGCACTGTAATTCTATATAAACTCCACAGGATGTTTTTGTTTTATACAGTCAAATGTAATTTTGCCCAAAATATTTGCCCTTTCCAATTACTTCCTGCATCTCTGAGCTTCTGAGATAATTTTCTTTCTGTATGAAAAACACTAATATTTCCTTTAGTGTAGATCTGCTGGAGACAAATTTTCTAGATTTTTGTTCATCTGAAAAATATCTTCATTTCACTTCCATTTCTAAAAGATATTTTTACTGGCTATAGAATTCCAGTTTGACAAATATTGTTTATCAGTACTTTTTGGCTTCCACTGATTCTGTTAAGGAGTCAGCTATCGTTATCGTTGTTGCTCTTTTGAAGGAGATACATGTATTTTTTTCCTCTGGCTGTTTTTAAGATGTTTCTTATCTTCAGTTTTTAGCATTTTACATGATATGCTCAAGCACTGATTTTTATATTTATCCTGCTTAGAATTCACAGCACTTTTTCTATCCTTGGTTTCAAGTTCTATCCATATTGTTTCTGCCCTATGCTCTCTCTTTTCTCCTACTGGAACAATAATTACACATGTCAGACCTTTTCATCTTATCTCACATGTCTTTCAACTCTTCTGTACTTTCCATCGTTTTGTCTTTCTGAGCTTCAATTTGAATATTTTCTTCTGACTTATTTTCTGGTTCATCAACTTTCTCTTTTCAACTGTGTCTAACCTGTTCTGCCATCTGTACACTGAGTCCTTAATTTGTTGTTATAGTTTCAGTACTAAAATTTTCAGATGGAATGCTCTATGGTGTCCAGTGATCTGCCAAAATTCTCAGTTTTGTCTTATAATTCTTTGAAATGTATTAAGTACTAAAGGAAAAAGATTACTCTTTTTTTCCCATCTATAGTTAGTTTCATATCAATTACCAAAGAGTATACTCCTCTTCCCTTGAATGACTCAAGGTAAATTGTGATTCAATAATTTTAATGACCTTTGGTTTAGAGCACTGTGAAAATTCTGCAAAAGAATTACCACTAATTATTTTGTAAATGAAAAATCATACATGTAAATTTTAAAACATCAGAAAAAACAAAAGCTATGATACATACACAAATGTACATAAGATATGTTGCCTTGTTTATCTATAGAGGAGAAAATGTTTAATTTTTTTTATTTATTAATATTACTTTTTTTTTTTACATTCTATGATGTTGTTGTGGAGCACTTGGAGGGTGGAAGAGAGGGGAAAGGGGAAGGAAATAGGGTGGGAGAAGGAGGAAGGGTGGGGTTGAGACCTGTGGCACCCCCTTCATTCCTGCATGGGAGACCAGGGGGCTTTGGGTGCAAATGTCAAAGAGGTGTGGCTGAAGTCCTTGCCCCCTCACCACTGCCACGGCTTGGGAGCCCAGGGTGCTTCCTGCAGCAGCTTGGTGGTCATTGCTGGGCTGATTGCGAGTATTGGGGAATGCATGGTCAAGGTCCTCATCTCCCACCACCCAGCTCTGGACAGCCCAAGGCTCTTCCTGTGGTGGCTCAGTAGTCGTCGCTGGGCTGGTTGTGGCTGAGGCCCTCGGCCCCCCACCACCCTGACTCCAGAGAGCCCAGGGTACTTCCTGCAGTGGCTTGGTGGTCGTCACTGGGCTGGTTGCAGGTGTCAGGGGGCCTGGCCAAGACCCTCAGTCCCCCACCGCTCCAGTTCGGGAGAGCCCAGGGTGCTTCCTCAGTGGTTGTCACTGGCTGGTTGCAGGTGTTAGGGGGTGCGGCTGAGGCTCTCAGCTCCCCACCCTTGGGACTGATTGTGGGTATCATGCAGCATGGCTGGGGCCTCCCATCTTCCCCCCTCCCTGGCTTGGTAGTCCAGGGGACTTCTGGTCCTTCCACATTTTATAGGTGTTCTTTGGTGATGAGAGACCCTTACTAGTTAATATCAAGTTTTGTCTCTGGCCTGTGGGTATTTTGTTTTTTCTTTCAGTTCTGTGTTGGATTATTTACTGTTCCTACCACTTAAACTCTGCACTGGAACTAATTTGCTGTCCTTTGCTTACTTCTAAAGTGGGGGAACTTCCTGTGGGAACCTGCACTTGAGCTGTGTGGTTGAGCTAAATTGTTGCCTTGCTGCTGATTCCCTGGGGAAGGCTTTTTGTGCAGCTCAGGTTTTAATGGTTGACTTTATAGGTGCTTCTGGGACTTGTGAGATCTGGTACACCTGGGTTGTACAGAAACTCTGGTCTGGGCCTGAGTCTTTTCAGCAAACTGTACCCCCTGTGGTTCTAAATTCCTAACCAGTATCCACTGAGTGGTCCTATGCTGACTGGGGGGCAGATCAGCTATCTTTGCTGTGCCCTGGTGTTCTCCTGGTGGGCCCATCTCCCCTACTGCCCATGCTCCAAACACTTCCCATGTGACAGGCCATATGCCAGTCCCTTGCAGTGACTCACTGGCCTCTGAGTGGCTCCTTTTTTTCAGTTGTTGTAGCTCCTCACTCCTATGTGGGTCCACGGGAACCCTATTAATGGTCTTGCTGACCTGGGGGCCACCAAGGCCCTCTTCTCCCCTGTCACCTCCAAGCAACTCCATCTGAAGGCCACAGTTGTGGCTTTTGCCTGCTCCTGCTCCATGCACTCACCAGCTCCAGCCTTAAAATGGCCAGGGCCCGAAATGGTTGGAGTGATTCTTTCTCTCATCATGGCTTCTCCCACTTTCATGCACTCCATAGGTCTCTCCCCTCCTCTTTCCCTGAGCTCTAGCAGCCCCAGCTTGGCTTTTGTTGCTTTTTAATAGTTGTAAATCGGTTGATTTGTGGTAGAGAATGATCCTGGGGACCATCTATTCCACCATCTTGACCAGACCCTCTGTAAATGCCTATTTAATTTTCTGAAGCCTTGAAATTATGTGGAACCATGTATTTCCTAAGTTGGCATATATATGTGTTGATAACAGGAACTGGTTCACTCTTTGGCCCAGCTCCCTAAAATGTCCATTAACCCCACACAAGTAACTATAACATAAAGTTGCGAGCTTATTTTATTTCAACACTGAAAATGCCCACGTTTGTTAAGACTAAGAATGCAGAAGCTGTTATCCCACAATTTACATGATCCTGGTAAAGAATTTTCAAGATCAATATATCCTTAGAATAAACCATCTATTAAACAAAGCAAATTAATATAGAGTAGCCAGACACAAAAGGTCACATATTATATGATTTCATTCATATGAAATATTCAAAATAGGTAAATCCATTGAGACACAACACAGATTGGTTGCCACAGACTGGGAGTAGGTAGGAATAGAGAAAAACTGCTTAATAAGTATTGAGTATTTTGGGGGTGATGAAAGTGTTTTGGACCTAGATAAAAATGATGGTTGCATAACATTGGTCTGTACTAATTGTAGCTAAATTGTTTACTTCAAAATGGTTACCTTTGTTACATGAATTTCACCTCAATCAAAAAAAAGAAAAAAAAATTAGCAGAGTATACTATCATAATAGATATTACATGATTTATAGATAATCCTTTAAGAAGTTAAAATGCTCATATAATGAATTTTAATTTCCTCTGATTTGACAAGTCTGTTATAGATGTACTTCTTTAATTAGAATAATAAAGTGTTCTCTAAAGTAGTGCATAATACTTGGGGGAAAAATCAGGCATTAGAAATCATACTGAGCAGTTTCATTTCTATAACACTGTGATTATTAGAAGTTTTAATAGCTAACTCTTGGCAATTTTAATTAAATTATAATCATTTTCGTTCTCTAAAGTAGTGCATAATACTTGGGGGAAAAATCAGGCATTAGAAATCATACTGAGCAGTTTCATTTCTATAACATTGTGATTATTAGAAGTTTTAATAGCTAACTCTTGGCAATTTTAATTAAATTATAATCATTTTTAAACTTATTCAGAATTTCAAATACAAACAAAGTAAACAGATTAGTATAATAAACTCCCATATATCCATCACTTATCTTCAACAACTAATATTTTTACATTCTTGTTTCATCTATACCTTTGCCCACTCACTCCATACACACCCCAATTATATTTTATAGTTTTCTTTGAAGATGTATATAAATTGAAATATAAAGAGCTTAGCTGTAAAATTCTGACAAATACACTTTTATCATGGTATAGAACATTTCCATCTCCCCAGAAAGCTTCCCTGTGTCTTTTCCCAGGCAATCTCCCCACCCTGAGGCAACCACTGTTCTGGTTTTTTTCACCTTAAATTAGTTTTGCCTGCTTTAGATAGCAGAATCACACAGTTTGTGCCTTTTGTGTTCAACTTCTGTGGCTCAACACATCTGTGAGATTCATATATGTGGCTGCATTATCATTAATTCACTCCTTTTTATTGCTAAGTACTGTATTGCATTGTACGAATATACCACAATTTGTGTGTCCATTTTCCTTTTGATAGATATTTAGGTTGTTTCCAGTTTTTGGCTTATTGTGAATAAAGCTGAACACTGTGAGGCCATATTTTCATTTCTCATTGACAAATACCTAGAGGTAGAACAGCTGATTCAAAAGTTAGGTATATTAACTTTATAACTGCCGAATCTTTTCCCATTGTTTGTCTTTTTATTATTGAATTATAGGAGTTCTAAATTCAAAGTTAATACTTTTAATTTGTTTTAAAAAGAACAATTTAGAACCTTAGCATAAAAGGGCTCCCACTGTCCTTTATGGCCGCCACTTTTTCACTAATTTTAAATCAGATTTGGCTTCTGGCAAAGTCTAATACCACTTACGTGCCAAGAGTTTAGCTGGTGAGTTCCGCTAGTGAGTAACTGAAGAATTCAAGTTAGACTCACTTTACTTAAATAAGGAATAACTGCAAAACCAAAGAAAACACTGACAAATTCATTCTTAGCAAGAACCAGCAAAGATAAGAAAAAGGTAAAAGTAAACAAAAATAAGCATTTTCTGTAAGCTGAAGAAGTAAACCTTGGATATATTCTATATCTTAGCTTATCAAATAATATTAAATTAAAGTACTCCTTTTTAATCTCACCTGTTTCATTGCTGTTTCACCTATTTTGTCAGAATGTTTTCGAATGCTTTCCAAAAAGTCTTTGAGATCAGACATGGAGATTTCTTTAATGGCCTCACGAAGTTTAGGAAGATTTTCTATCATTAGCTGACAAAACCGGTATTGACTAACCCGGGGAAAGTACACGTTCTCTAATTGTTCCATAGTTTTTAGGGCAGAATAATACCTATGAGAAGTTAAAAAGAAGACTCTATAAAAAGTTCTTATCACATTGATTTTGTAAGTAAATTCAAATAATCAATCAGTCTATCATTCCCATCAAAAAGGATATACTTATAACAAGTAAAATTAACATTTATTTCTATTTATTAAGCACAAACTATAAACCATATGAACAAGTTGCAGTCTGAAAATTCATGGTTTACAATAATATAAAACGTCCTTATTTTACTTCATCAAAATCTATAACATCAAGAACATTATCATAGTCATGACAATACCTGAAGTGCATATTATAAGAGGAGGTACTTCAAAAAGTTCATGGAAAGATTCATATTATCTTTTAATTATATTTTTCCACAAACTCTTTGAGGAAATCTCATATTTTCAAATTTCTGAATTATAATATTTAGCTACTTGATAAATGATTTCATACTATCTCTCTAATCATAGTATCCATCCATACACTATCACCATAAAAAAAAGATATCAGGGTTAAGACACACAGAAAACTATAATCTTCAGCAGAGAGCAAAAGTCAGAGATTACACCCTGGATCCTTTCTAAAATTTAGCCACAGATCTCCTAAGCTTCATATCAGGGTTAAGACACACAGAAAACTATAATCTTCAGCAGAGATCAAAAGTCAGAGATTACACCCTGGATCCTTTCTAAAATTTAGCCACAGATCTCCTAAGCTTCATCTATTTCTAAATGCAAGCAAAATCTACACCATAATAGATTACCATTTCTCTTTAGGTCTACATGATGCTGCTTTTTAAAAATTGTAACAGTAACCCGTACCCATTAGAAAAATACAAAAACTGTAAGGGGAAAATAAAAAGCACCCATAATCTGATGCTATCATGTAGTAATTATCTCATTAATATTTGGCCATATTTCTCCCCAGTCATATATCTACATTAACAGTTCTATATGCTTACATGCTACTTAACAATATATAATACAATTTACCTTATAAATATAATTACTTAAAAACAGATTATGACTCTATTTGTAAGTCTGTTATCATAAAGTAATGATGTCCTTATTGTTGGAAGTTTAAGTCTCGGACTTTTTATTTTTTATAAATAGCACTAGAGTGTATTTCCCTCTGTGTTAAATCTCTGACAAGATGTCTGTTCTTATAATGAGATACTTTTAAAAGGGTGTTTGTCATCACTAAATGGACAACATGTGAGTATTCTAATGGTTCTCTGGGCCACAAGGTATGAAGTATGCCACTGTTCTTAAATCATCTGCCTTCCCTTGAGCATTTCCACTTCACCATAATTTGTCCTATCATAGAAATGGTTACTTCAGTTTCTATTAGTCTTTTTAAATACAATGTCCTGCATACATTAAAAAAAATAATTACAAGATACACAAATAAGCAGAAAAATTTGACTCATAACTAAAAGAAAAAAGTCAATGAAAACATACAAACAGGTGGCCTAGATCTTATAATTCACAAATAAGAAATTTAAAATAACTATTATAAATGTTATAGAATCTAGTAGAAAAGGTAATCAACATGTTATAAAGAGATGGGGAATTTTAGCAGAGAAACAGAAATTATAACAAAGAATCAAATGGAAATGCTTAAAATAAAAAATCAAATATTAGAAATGAAGAATCTATTCAATGGGCTTGACAGCAGACTGTACACCAGAGAAGAAATGGTCCATAGATGTGAAGAAACTGTGCAGACTGAAACACACACACACACACACACACACACACACACACAGAATAAAAAAAGGGGCGGGGGAGAAGTGTCATAATCTGCAGAAACAGGTTCAGTAAATTTGAAGATAGATTTGAAAATTACCCAAATTGAAATATAAAAAGAAAAAAGGGAGAAGGGAAAAATAAGTCAATAAAACTTATGAAACAACATTAAATAATCTAATATGCATGTGACTGGAGTTCCAGAAGAAAAAAAAAAGAGGAAAAAAACAGGCAGAAGAAATACTGGAAGAGGTGATGGACAAAAAGTTTCCAAAAATTTTAAAAAGACATAAATCCACAAATCCAGTAAGCTAAACAAACCCCAAGAAATATAACTACAAGGAAAACTACACCTAAGAATATCACAGTCAAACTCATAAAAACAAAGGATAAAGAGAAAAATCTTTAAAGCAGCCAAAAAAAAGACTATCACAAACCTTCTAACATCAATAAGAATGACAGCAGAACTTCTCAACAGAGACAATAGAGCACAGAAGACAATAAAAGATAATATTTAAAGTGCTGAGGCAAGGGGACCCCTGACAACCTAAAACTCCATATCTGAAAAAATTATTCTTCAAAAATGGAAGTAAAATAAAAACATTTCCAGATAGACAAAAGCAGGAAAATTTACCTACAGCAGATATGCACTATAATAAATAATAAAGTTCATCATGCTCAAGGAAATTACACCAGATAGAAGCCTCCAAAAAGGGGAAGAAGAGCAACAGAAAGGACAAATTCATAAGTATAAAAGAATCTATTTTACTTGTCATTAAAGTATATAAACATTATCATTAAATAGATGGATAGTTTATACCATATGCTACAAGTAAAATATATAAAAACAAGAGCTCAACAGGCAGGATGAGGATAAACACAATTGTATTACTGTAAGTTTTTAATATTACTCATGAAATATTATAATATTATTGGAAAGTGGACTGTTATAAGTTAAACATGCATATTGTAATCTCTAAAGTAGCCCCTAAAAAACTAATCAAAGAGGTATAACTAATAAGTAGAAGAGATAAAAAATAAATAAAATGTAAAAAAAAAAAACCTTAATCCTAAAAAAGACAGGAAGGAAAGCAACAACTAAAAATAATGAGACAAATAGAAAACAAAGAGTAAAATAATTTTTAAGTCAACCAAAACAAAAATTACATTAAATGTAAATAATCTAAGAACTCCAAGTAAAAAACAGAGGCTACCCACTGAATAGAAAAAACAGAACCCACTATATGCTGTTGACAAGAAAAACACTTTAAATATAAAGACAGGTTGAATGTAAAAAGGTGTCAAAAGATACATGTGCAAACACTAAGAGTAAGTATGCCAGAATAACTATAATGACTACACCAATACCAAAGTAGAATTCAGAACACAGAATATTACCAAAGGTAAAAATGGACATTTCATAAGGATAAAAGGTTAATTATTAAGAATATAAAACAATCATAAATGTGTAGACAGCTAATAACAGCACTTTGAAATATATAAAGCAAAATTGAAAGAACTAAAGAGAAAATAGATAAATCCATAATAACAGTTGAACAACAATAGTTGAATACCCCTCTATAATTGATAGAACTGGAAGACAAAAAAATCACTAAGGATATAAAAAGACTTACACTAACAGTTAACATGACCTACTTGATATTTCTAGAACATTAAAGCCGCAGTTGTAGAATACATAGTCTCTTCAAGTGCACATGAAATATTCATCAAGACAGATCTATAACGTAGCCCTAAACAAATCTCAATAAATGTCAAAAGATTAAAAGCAGTTGTAGAATACATAGTCTCTTCAAGTGCACATGAAATAGTCATCAAGACAGATCTATAACGTAGCCCTAAACAAATCTCAATAAATGTCAAAAGATTAAAATCATACAGAATATGTTTACTGGCCCAACAGTATTAAACTAGAAATCAATGATAAAGATCATAAAATATCTATAAAATTCCCTAAATTTGTTAGACTGCAGCCTTATAATCCCAAAGCCACAGGTTCAGATCCCAGTACTGGCCAGCCACCCAAAAAAGAAAAAAGAAAATCCCCTAAATATTTGGAAATTAAACAACACATTTGGAGATAACTTAAGAGTTAAAACAAAATCACAAGGAAAAATAGAAAATATTTTTAACTAAAAAATTAGAAGAAAGGTCTAAAATCAGTGTTACCAACTTCCAATTTATGAAGATGGAAAAAGAATTAAAAAATTGAATCCCAAGTGTAAGTATGGAAATAATAAAAACAAAAATGGAAATCAAAGAGAAAAGAAAATCAAATGTTAGATCTTTTTGAAAATATCAATAAAATTGATAAGCCTCTAACCAGACAAATCTGGGAAGTGGGGTGAAGACACAAATTACTAATATCAGGAATACAAAAGAATAATATTACTACAGATCCTACAGACATTAAAAGGATGATTAGAGAATATTATATGTAACTTTATGACAATAAAATCAAAAAGTTAAAGTGGTCAAAGTTCTTGAAACGACACAAGATATAAAAACTGACTCAAGAAGTAAATGAAAGTCTTTTTTTTTTTTGTCTTTTGTCTTTTTTCCGTGTCCGGCAACGGATCGCAACCCTCAGTGTTGCCCCCGCACCGGACCGGGGACCGGCAACGGGATTGCAAACCTCGGCATTGCTCCCGCGCCTCGCTCAGCCAGTGAGCGGGAACCAGTCTGTATGTGGGATCCGAACCCTTGGGCGGGAGCGCCGCCGCGCTTCCCAAGCGGCGCACTATCCAGTGCGCCACCGGGCCGGCCCCTGTAAATGAAAGTCTTAATAGCTCAACATCTACTAAGGTAATGGAATTCATATCAAAATTCAGCCAGAGTGCCTTTTTAAGGAGAACAGAGCATTCTACTTATCTCAAACTAGTTACCTTCCCACCTCCCCTCTCCCTCCTGGTATTCTCCAGTTTTTGCCCTGAGAATCTTGTGGGGCTCCTGAAGGTAAAACTCATAAAAGTGTGGGAGCCTTCATAAAGTAGGGCCCCCAGGAGTTAAGCTAGTACATGCTTAACCACCTTTTAAGTGCTCCTACCAGACTCCAGCAGTGGCTTCTGCTCCCAGCAAACTGTGATACTATATATTTGCCTGTCTCTCCAGTTTGAGGGGCAGCAGTTTGCCCTGTAACCTCAGTTCTCTGATGCTTCTAAGGAAGGTTGCTGATTTTCAATTTGTTTAGCTTTTTTCTTTTTTTGTGAGGACAGGAGTGATGATTTCCAAGCTCCTTACATATCAGACTGGAAAGTG